GTTCGAAGCCCAAAGGCTCGTTCGGGCCAAAATCCACAAACGAGGGCACGTTTAAATGAACCGGAGACAAATGATGGCCACCCCTGCCCGTGTTCTGACAATTCCTATAATAGTACAGCCACTCGGAAGAACTCATGCCGACGTATGGAGGCTGTGCAGTAGGTCCCGCACCAAGAATACCGTCCACCTTGATGCCTCGGTAATCTGGCATAAGTGACGGATTTGCCCTCAGCCAGGTGGCATCGTCCGGTAGCAGAGGGGCCGAGGGCACCGTCGTGGCTCGAGGAGGCAGCTCGTGAATTATGGTCGAATTTGCCCCGGTTGTCATTTTTGGGCCCTTGCTTTCGTGGATGGAGAGTTCGTCCAAGGATGTCGATACAACTTCTTCTATCGGGCTCAGAAGTTTCAAACCGTGGGGCCCACTCTCCCGCTCGATGTTCCACGAGCTCAAGGACGGGGGTCCCACATGATGCTCGTTATGTCCGGGATTGGGTGTAGAGTGGAAGCTAAACGAACCCGCATTTTCGGCGTTCTGACTGGCGGATAGTGATGTGGCGCGTCTCAACCACTCGTCGACAGGTGCAGGTTGGGTCCTTGTCTGGCTGATGGTTTCGGGCTCGGGGATGCAGACAGGTGCCGAGTTGCGTCTAGTAATGGGCTTGAAGAGGATGACTTCCTCGTCTTCAGTCACGGTATGGGCTTTTATTAGGCCCATATTAGATTCGTGAGAGGATTGGTCCGAAGATTTTCTCGCTGAATTCAAAGAATTGGATAGCTCGGAATTTCGGTGGACATCGCTTATTCTTTTTGCAGCAGTAAACAGGCGCTGCAACCTGCATTCATTTTTAAATTTGGATATTTCCACACAATCATGATTAGTTTTGAAATTCAGTGTCTGATGAACGTGTGATAACGGGTAAAAGCCCCGCAGCTCGTGATCCTCCCATAGGGCAGTGTTATCCGAAAAGGGTTCGTCTCCATTTAGCTCGACTCGGTCCAAGAGGTCAGCCAAAGTGTTGAGGAAGTAAGACAAAGCATTTGCAACCCTTTTGTCGGCATTGTAAGTTTTGACGGTGCCAAGTGAACCCACAAACCACTCTGTGAATACAAGCATAGCCGGTAGAAGTGGGCAACTATCCGCACTACTGCCCTTTTGCATGCATCTCTCAGTAAACCGGCCCATGCAAATGAACATAGCAGCAAACGCTAGTGATTTAAGTTCGGAGTGTTTTTCTTCACGTTTTTCAGTTGACTTTGACTCGTCTCTTTCGAGGCTTTCGGTCAGGCTATGGGCAACGAAGATGAATACGGTGACTAGTTGAATAGCGCGATAAGGGCCTTTCCTGGAAGAGTCTAGGCTTTGGTAAGACTCCAAAGATATGGCCAGTTTCGATTTATTCGCTACCAATAAAGCTTCTAAGCTGTTTAAGGCAGAAGCAAGAGTGCGCGGAAAGTCATCCAAACTGCAATGTGCGGAAAATATCACATCCAATTACTCAGATTTGATAAAAACCACATCATGACAAAACAAACTAATCCGGAAAAAATAGATACACTAAAAATGCTTGTTTCGATTACCTAGATCTGACTAGAAGGAAGCTTATAGTTCTGACAAGAAGGGGCCATAATTCGAGATTTTCGGAAAAATTTTTCTCCGTGTTTTCTGATTTACTGTCACGTGCACAGTTATTCTCTTCACGGGACGTCTTTGACGAATAAATTTTCTTGGAAGGGTTTAAAAAGTCGAGCTGCATCTGGCTGGAAATTGACGGCAACTCAGTTGACCTGTTCTGCAAATGTACAAGAAACAGTTGAAGATCTGAGTTTTTAATTGCCCTTATTCAACAAGCAAATATACAACATTCAGGAGAGACGAACAATAAAATGCAAAATTGAAATTTTACCTCTTCGAAAAGTAGCATAATATTTCTCCAGGCATCCGGAAAAGGCTCCTTGAGTGCCAAGCTTCTTACACAATGGTATAATGCAAGAAAAGAATCACCAACATATGTTGCCAGTAAAGCCAACTGTAGATTCAAAATATTTACTCATGACCAAAAATGATGGAGTAGATATAGACTAATATGCTTATTTACTTTGGAAAAGAAAAGGTGCAAAATTCGAGTACAAACATAGGTGTTTTGCGCAAGTGCCATGAATATGGAAATTAACCTACCTGATTATGAGGATTTCCACTATCTGGAAAAGTTCTGATCGACTCGAAATAATACTTAGCCGCAATTGACCACTCACAGGCCTCCGATCTCTTGACTATCTCACCATATCTAGCAAGGTCCCCGAGACAAATCAATAGGCGGTGGCACGTGTATTCACAAGCATATGCTGCCTTTTGTGGCTCAGCAGAAACTGCAGCACGGTGCTCATTGTTTAGGAAAACCTCTCCCACGAGCCCACAACTATTCCGAAATTTTATAATCAGCTTTTGGTAAAATTCATTTGCCTCAGATACAAATGCCACAAATCCTTTCAACCCCTCCTTATCGATATTTCTCTCTGAACCGACACATTCTGGTGAATTGTCCTTTTTCACAGTTTCTGCATTATGGGACTGTTTTCTGATTTTTTTACGGAATTCGTCTATGAGCTGATAATGAAGCCTCCATAAGTGGTACTCGGTTACTTGATGCTCGACTAGCTGATTCATGTCCAGCAGAGCATTTTCGTATAGTGTGCGGATCTTTCGGTAAAGCTTAAGAACATCACTGTCCCAATTCCACATACCCTTTGAATACATCAAAGTTAACATCTGTTTCTCGTGATTAACAACCTACACAGAACGACAGCCCGAAAAGCATTAGAAAGTAACAATGATTTAACATCAACGAAGGAAAACCGTGTAAGAAAGTAACAACAAGAAACTACCTCATGGACAGATTTTTGCTGATCCATATTGTGAAGCTAACTGGTGACAGCTATTGAAATTCAATGTAATAAGCCAAGCTTTGATTCTATTACATCTTAAGCAGTCTGCAAATCAGACATAAAACAAATTCAATTAACAAGAGCTTCAAACGGGAAATATTTTACAAATTAATCGTACTAGTACTAATACCCACGTACAACATGGGTGTTGAGTTAGCGAACATCCATGATCCAACCTCAAAACCAGACATTTTTTTCTTAACTTTATCAAACTTTACAACCAATAAAAAATAAAGTAATTCAAGAAAACAGAGTACCTTGAAAAACAGATCGACACTTTCAGCGTGTGACAACAGTGAAACCCTCGATAGATTAATTAGGACAGTCGTCAAGAACAAAGATGAAACTTTTTTAGAGCGAGAAGAAAGGCTTTATAAAACGAAAAGTCTTCAAACAACAGCACTTAATAAAATTGAATTTGGATGGTCTAAATGCACATCATCATCGCGTGTTGTAGCAACAGTAAAAAGGGACAAAACAACTGAAGCTCTGTTCATGGAGTTCGAGAAAGATTTTTAACCTTTGCCCCTTTCTTTGCGGCACTTGTATCATGTATCATGTATGCGTGTTTTATTCCGATTCTATTATATATTTACGGATGAATGATACGGTCTCGTTACGGAATCATTCTGTTAAAGTTTGTAACGTCAAATTTCACGTAATTGTTGGGTTAGTTGATCTAACGGTTACAAATCCCGACAGAATTTTTTTTTTTTTTGGTACAGGAAAGAGAAAGCACTGCGAAAGCTAATGCTCGATTACGACCCGGCGGAGTTGAGTCACGCTTAGGCGATCATAATGTAACCAAGGTCCAGCTCCCAGAGGGGGTTGATCAAAACGTTGCAAGCTACCCCCTCCTTTGGCTGCAAGAGACGCCAAAATATCCGCCACAACGTTCGTTTCTCGATGATCGCAGGCTTATTTATGATTTTTTTTAGAAATTATCCAATAAATAAACAAAGGTGAACACGTCAAAAATGGTCCCGACATCATAAAACAAGTTCCCTACAGGACACGTTGCTTGGATTAATTTAATGTGGATTATTTTTTTTTTTTGGGTATGATTAAGGTTAACTTGGCTGATTGTCAGTTAATTACTACTATTAATTAATTTTGATAGTCAAAGGTTGTATAAATTATGATTGAGAACAATTTGTGTTAATTACGAAAACTTTGTGAGCAGTGGACATATGCATTGAAGCGGCCATTTGTCAAAATCTACGTGGTTAATTGGTACGAC